GAATGCAGAAACACTTCTGTGGCTTCTTCCTCCTGTCTTCTCCCATGGTGAACTTCCTATTAGATATTTTCATGATAGTTCCTACTGAGATAAAAAGAAAAGACATGTATTGGCCTGTTTTTAAACTTTCAGTCATTCATGAAGAGAGCAAAAATTGTAAACCCGTGCTGATCAAACACAGCACATTTCCATTCCAAATGTTAGAACTGTGTCAATAGCAACTGTATTTGGGTTCCAGGAGGACAGGGGCCAATGCAAGGTTAAGTGTCTGGTCCTAAGGAGACGGAATGAGCAGGGGGCCTGCTCAATCTGGGAGCACTTCCAAGGCCATGGTCTGGAGGCAGCAGGCAGGCTGCTGCCATCATGTAACTGCTTCTACTGATGATGTTCTGAAACCCTCATAAAAATAGTCACTGAAAATGCAGACACCAAGCAAACATATTATGGTCCAGGAGATGCTATGTTTACCACATTCACTGATTTCCAGGCAGTAGAACACTGTGGACTACATGGATATCTTGCCTTGAACCAAAAGTAGAAAATGCTACGGAGGGAAACAAGCACCTTGGCACCCCTTATACCTAATAAATAGAACCCTTTCCTTTTTCAATGCTTGATGTTGAGTGCTCAATTAAGCTAGTCCATATTGATGGTACAGAGAGCCTTMAAATTCTCTAGCATAATTAAATGTACACCTGACATGAAGAAATTCAAAGGTAATGTTCCCCTGAAAGTTAAGATGACAAAGAAGTTGCCTAGTGCTGTCAAGCTGGGGTTGGACAGCTTATATTTTATAAAACAAAAGTACAAACAGGTATTAACAAAATGATTTGCATTCAAGAAGAAACAAAAGAACCATGGATCCAAGAAAATGACCTCTCAGAACCTGCTTAAAGAGAGGGGAGCTTCTCCTTAAACTGTACTTAAGTCACCAAAGAAAGGTGAGCAACAAGGAAAGATAATAATATATTAAAAGCTGATAAAGGGCTGGGGGTATGGCTCAGTGGTAAAGCCCTTGCCTTGCATGCTTGGGGCACTGGGTTTGATCCTCATCATCACATAAATAAATAAAATAAAGGCACTGTGTCCATCTACAACTAAAAATTTAAAAAAGAAAAAAGAAAACGCTGTTGAAGTCAGGTGTGGTGGCACACATCTGTAATCTCAGCAGCTCAGGAATCTGAGACAGGAGGATTATGAATTCAAAGCCAGCCTCATCAACTTAGAGAGGCACTAAGCAACTCAGAGAGAAAGGGTAGGGATGTGGTTCAGTGGTTATGCATCCCTGGTTCAATTCCCAATACCAGGAAAAAAAAAAAAAAAGCTGATGAATGCAGCTGTCCACAAAACACTTTTAATAAGTAGGTTAAGATAAATTTGTATCTAGCTACAAATATGCACAACTTAAACAAATGTTTACTGTGACATAACCAGTAATTGGAGGTTTTATTTTGTTTTAAAGGCAAACCTCATAAAAATTTTAACTACCATATTCATATAACTTAATGCCCCCAAGGTTTAGACTGTACCCATCATAAATCTACCTGACTCCTTCAGTTTAGGAAAGGTACTGTAACCTGCTTTATCATTTGACTTTCTCCCTCTGGAGATGGCATAGGTTGATACCTGTTCATTTTCAGTGACCTGAATAAATCAAGAGAGAATCAAAAGCCTCACRGATCTTGCCAGGCAGCTATCCAAACAAGGCAGGGAGCAAGTTCCAGAAATTTGGTCTCACCTGAAGTAAAACAAAGCCACCCAAAAGTCAGGACTGAAGGACTGGGAAGAGTGTGGCCTTTTCCCCATCCTGCCAAGCTCCATGGGAACAGGCCCCACTGCAGCTGTTGTTACCACTGATGTCTCAACAGCTAGGAGGTAATTTGATACTAATAAGAATTAGAAATACATAAGTTTGTGGATGCTTTGCTTTCTTTACATTACAGCCAATTAAAGGTTATCTCTATAATAAGGCAATTCCCACTTGTTGTCCCATAGCTCACTAAGTGGGGGAGGATGCGGGGGAAGGATGTGGGCAGCGCAGCAGCCCAGGCCTGCCTGCTAATGATGCTCCCTCCCCTGGCTACCATTCTGAGATCCCAAAAGAGTTTGGGAACCTCGGTTTTGCAGTTAGTCCTCTCTTCCTTTTTTTTCTACTGAAAGTCCAGAGAATGTATGTTGCCATCTATTTTGCAAGAATCATGCTATGGCCATCTCAGTAATAGTGACAAGAGTTTTAGTGACCCATCACAAGCAGGAAAAATACTGAAGTAAGAAAAATTTACAATGCTCTGCATATATGATTTGGAAAATAGAAAAGTTTAGTCATTTTATGTATTGCTAATTTAACAATAAAATTCAGGGTGTTTTTTTTTTTTTTTTTTTTTTTTTTGTCTCTGTGTGTGTGCTTATTCTTTAATTGTAAGAAACCAAAGAAGGGGTGGTAGTGGTGAGAAAAAAAGACTGCATGCCTGATTTGCACTGACAAAGCAATATAGCTTATTTAGAAATCGTTTCCATTTCACATTGAGTTCAAAATCACAGGAAGTGATACTACCACATACTGCATTTGGCATTGGTGAGAAAACATCTAAAATGGACACTTGAATTTGGGCATCAATTTAATAAAGGAATTTATACATTAGCATGGCCCCTCTAAGAGGAAGTGGAAGAATGATGAGGAATCTAGAAATTATGCCATGGGAGAAAACAGTTGGGGAAAGGGAGGCACAGACAGTGTTTAACATGGAAAAGATAGAAAGGGTTGTCCTATGCAAGCAGCTTATTTAACATAGCTCCAGAGAGCTAAGATTGGTGAGTAAAAGTTATAAAGGGGTTTCTACTAGTAGCTTTCTAATAAATACACATTCCCACTTTACAAGCATTAGCTCCACATCATAGAAGGCAATCAATCCCACAGAATGTGTTCCTGTGCTCAGCATGAAAATGGGCCAGATGACCTTTAAGCCTCCTTCCAACTCTAAAATTCTGTTATTTTCTTAAACCTCAAATCTGCTAGTCATTTTTAAGAGTTAAAATGTTCATGCTGGGTCTAAATAGTCTGCCATCAAATTTTTAAAAAAATTACTTGGCCAGTGGGTTTTTAGAATGTAGCTATCTGAGGTCTCCATTCAAGATCTAGAGACTGCTCTGTTAAGACACTTCACTATTTCTCAACCTTTTCCCAATTATATTTGAGATACATGTGAATCATGCATTTTTACCTTCATTTCTTGGCAGTAAACTTCACAAAGATTTCCCATGCCATTTCAACCTCATAATGTGACACATAGTTCCTAAACACATAAGAGCACAGYCCACAGGCTTACTTCTGAAAAAGCTCTCTGATTTCATTTTGAGTTAGAAAAATTGAATTCCACAATGGCAAGCCCAAGACTCCTTATACCATCTACCAAACTTATAAAATGTTGCTCAGTAAGAGATCTGGAAAGTAAACAGTAAAACTTACTTGTCCACATTCTAAGAAACTGAAATTTTACTTTCAAAGTTTGAATTTTCAGAAACAAGAGTTGTAGAAATAATTGTGATTGATTTTTAACTGCTTCTACTTTTTTGGATGCTGAGATTASAGTCAATCYCATTCTGCACTAACTAGTAAAAATACATTTAAAAGAGAATGTCCCTACCAAGGCAAGGTGGCACCTGAGATCTCAGACTTGACTTGGGAACTCAACTAGGCCAGAATCTTCAAGAATAAAACTTCTACTAAAACTTAACTGCATGTTTATCATATGCCAGCCACTGCAAATACCAATAGCTCTTCTAGCCACTGAATTACTCCTTCTCTAGGGAGTCAATACTATTATTATCCCCCCAAAATTGGGGTGAGTTTAAGCAATTTGAGCTTCGATGCTAAACAAGGAGCCCAAGCTAAAAGTAAAGCTGCATCAGCTTTATGACTGAGTCCACACTGTCTTATCCAACACCCTACTTGGTGTCTGCAGCTCAACAATACTGAACCCCACATTCCAATGGCAGCCTAGGGCAGACCGCTGCCTCCCTGGGTACAGGGAGCCACCCCAAACTGTCACATCACTTGCAACTCCAGTCCTGGGTAATAGAAGAGGAAGGCACAGACTACGACAACTTACTTTATTGGTAACTAGTAAAAATACATTCAAATAGAGTGCCCCTATCAAAGCAAGTCTAAGTTGGAGTCTGTGAGACTTTCACTCTGGCAGGCATTTCTGAAAGCAATTATTCTGACAAGCTAAGTTAAAACAATTCAGTGGGACTCTTGGTTGTTTTGGACATCAGCTGGCATGGAAAAAAAATCTCTTGCAATATAATATTAAAGTAAAAACAATGAAAATCCTTTGTAGATTCAACAAAGATAAACTTGTAGATGTTTATCTACAAATACATAGATTCAGGAAACTCTTAATTAACTCTTCAGCCAGACAATAATTTATATCATCAAAAACTCAATTGAACTCACACTTGAACCACTCAAACAGTCATAAGTCCTTGTGGGTTCCCAGGAAGATTAGGAAGAAAGAGGAGAGACCCTGCAAAGCCCACTTCCTGTCATTGACTATCTACCACTTTGCCTGTGGAGTGTGGCAGACTTCTGAGTTAAGACAGGAGTGCAGGGGTGGTCAGAAGCCCTGGGCCTGAAGTCCAGCACAGCACTTCATCAGCACAGGCATATCTGCCACTGTCTCAGTGCCACACCCTGCAGTGCCAGCCAGAGGCAAAAATGCAGCATGCATTTGGGGGATTTTCCTCCTTGTTCTCCCAATTCCCTCACTGCTCTTATCTCTATGCTCATCCTGCAGAACTATCACTGATCTGTCACAACAAAGATAGGAAAAGAATAGAAAGGAATTAGAAGTGAATTTAGGATTTCACAGCTCATCTAAGAACTTAGTTCTAAATGGAGGGCACACAAGTCTACACTTGACAAGAAAACCTAGAAGCAGACCTGATAGTCAGATGTCAGAGGCTTCTTGGCAAGTTAGAAAGGCAAGACCAGCACTTACCTGACTGCTGAAGGACTCTTTCTTGACTGAGCTCTGAGTCTGCAGAGGTCCCTGGGCAGGCGACAACCTTGAGGGGCTCTTCTTACTCTGAGGCAGCAACGAGGACAGGAATCCTACTCGAGGTGACTGGGAAAGGGAGGTGGTCCTCTGGCTGCATACCATGGCTCTGGTCAAAGACACACCACAGGGTCAAAGGGCTGGAGGGGGATGAGGGAGATCCAAGAACTCAAAGAGCTTCTGGGGCTTGACAGTGGCATTATCCAAGGTACCAGTTCCTCTACAGAGGGAGCCAGCAGCTTAGTGAAGACTATGGCTCTTCTTTGAGGGCCTCAGTAAAACTCAGAGCTGCCTTGTCCAACAGCCACTGTCCACACATGCCTCTGAGCATCTGAACTGTGGTTAGTCCAAATTGAGATGTACTGGAGTGTAAGACATGCTGGAATTCAAAGACTCAGCAAGAAAAAAAGTGTAAAGTACCTCATTAACATTCTGCTTACATTCATTTCACGTTGAAATAATTTGGATATATTAGGCTAAATAAAATATATCACTAAAATTAACTTTGCTTGTTTCATTTTATTTTTTAAACATAGCTACTAAAACCTTTGAATTACATCTTTGGCTGGCATTTTACTCTCCTCAGCGATATTGACTGGAAAGCTAGAGCAGTTTATTTGGTGCAACACTTGGCTACCACCTGGGTTTGCACCCTGATGCACTGTGTCACTTGTCAGTGTCTGTGTTTTCAATTATCATCTGAGGCTTCTGCTATAAATGGCTATTTCTTAAGGTCACCCAAATACCTCTATCCCAATCTGCCCACCTTTCTAAACCCCAGTAGCATGCTTCCCCTAAGAAATGTGTCCCTCCCATGGGAGGCCAGTCCTCCTCACTACACTCCTTCCAATGCACAAAAACTTCCTGAGACTTTACCAGTGGCTGTTGTACTGATCCAGGCTATGCACATCTGGATGTGTGTGTCCCTGGCAGAGCTGTGCCCCCTCTCTCCATGCAGAGCCAGAGGCTTGGAGTTTCAGAACAACTTCCAAAGGACCTTAGAGGCCATGAGAACCTTATTTATCAATTCTGAAGCAAGGGCAGATGTGCCAAGGAGCTCTTTGGCAATTTTCCCTCAATGGGCACAGGGGACCAAGGGCAAGGCAGAATCAGATTGAAGCTCAGGTCAGAGAGAGCATGGAGTACAGAGGACAGGAAGAAGCAGCCACCTTCCCCATGATCCCTGGTGTACACTTACAGCTCTGAGTCCCCCAGGCGGTCCATATTGGAGACATAAGGAGGCAATTTGTGTTGGACCAAGGCCGCCTCCTCTTCAGGTTGCTGCTCCTCCTTCTTTAGTCGGTGGATTTCAGCTTGCAAGGCAAAAAGCTATGTAGAGGTAGAGCTGAGTTAGCCAATAACCTCACCTGACTTTCCCTCTTCTAAGGGAGATTTTTAGGCATCTCAAATCCAAATCCAACCTCACTGGCTCAAAATGCCACTTGACCTTAGCCTCAGGGTGCCCGTCACATTTCTGCTCATTGAGCACTAGAAAACTGAAAGAATAACTTGCTGCTACTAGCCTAGACCAGTGAGGTAAGAAAATCAAAACCGGTTAAACATCCAAAACCACTTCTTTTTTTCATTTATCATTTGACTTGCTTCCTTTTTACCACTTGACTTGCTTCTTCCTGAATTCACTATGAAAAATAACTCCACCTGATCCTGCTTTGTTCTTTGACATCTACAAAATCAAGCTTTGGAACTCACATGGAAAAAAGTTCTTAATGAATTATATCATCCTTAACCTCTCACCTGAGCCGGGCATGGTGGCAYGTGCCTATAATCCTATCAATTTGGGAGGCTGAGGTAGGAGGACCACAAGTTCAAGGCCCTGAGCAACTAAGCAAAACCCTGTCTCAAATATAAAAAATTAAAAGGGCAGGGATGTGGCTCAGTGGTTAAGCACCCCAAATTTCAATCCCCAGTACCATAAAAAAAGGTCTTTCACCTGAAGCAAACTGTATATACACACAAAACACAATAAACTCTGAAATCTTTGTATGTGTGCATGTGGGGGAGTTTAAGTGGGGGATTTAACTTAGAGGTATTGAGCACAGAACTATTACCCCACCTCAACCCTATTTTGAAACAGGATCTTGCTAAATTACTGAGACTGCCCTCCCACAAGTAATCCTCCTGCCTCAGCCTCCCAAATTGCTGGGATTACAGACATTAAAACCCTGAACCTAACAGTTTTTAAGCTTCCTTTTCCTTCCTTTTCACTGACAGAGCTCTTCATTTCAGGACAAAGAAATGCCTCCAGCAAAATGTAAAGACAAATGTGGGTTCTCCAAATTTGTTATTTTATCCAACAAGAGAAACAGGTAGTTGAGTGGGAAGAATTAAATTAAATCTGGATTTGAAACAATGTACACATGGCTACATGTGGAAAAAGACAGGAAAAATAAAATAGACATAAGAAATCAGGTGAGGTGCAAGGTGTGGTATGAAGGCACACAGTGTTTTTCTTCTTGAAAGTCCATTCCTGTTATACATTACTTTTGCTGCACACATAATTTGAAACATGAATTTCACCTCTGGTTACCAGAGGTTGTTGGTATAGCCTCAAAGCCCCAACACTGACTGATAGTGACTCACTTTCATCTGAGAATAATTCTGCTTTTCTACATTTAAACAACCTTCCATTGCCACTACCCAATTTTGCGCTCAAAAAGCAGAAGTCCTTCCCAAAGAGCCAGCCTATTTAAAACAAACCTTCTGACGCAGAACTTCATTTTCTTCTTGAACCTGGTTCGTCCTCTGGCACTCTGCATCAAAGTTCAGGATCACTGGAACTGGTGCCCAAAGTTAAAGAATAAGCCTTCCTGAGAACATTTAAATGTTCTTCCTGGCTGAGCATGGTGGCACATGCCTATAATCCCAATGATTTAGAAGGCTAAAACAGGAGGGTCACAAATTGAGACTAGCCTTAGCAACTTAGTGAAACCCTGTCTCAAATTTTTAAAAAAACCATTTTTTTTTTTAATTAAAGTTCTTCCCAACTGACATAGTAGCCAAACACTTGAACACAAGACAGAGGAACATAGGTGCAATGGGCTCATCCCAGCTTTATGAAATAAAAAGCTGCATTTATGAAATATTCTCTACCTATTCTCTGGGCCTGTTACTCCAGGTCAACCTGACTTCCTGTAGGCCCACAGACACATGACAATCTGCTAGCCAATTCTCGAAGAGGACATTCAAACTTTGGCATTTTCCCCCAAACAATGGCAGTAAAGAGTTGGCATTTGTCAGGCTTCACCATCTAAGCTTTAGCAAAAGATGAATGCAGACAGAAGGTAACCTTAGAAGTAGGATCAGCCACTAGGTTTTCCCTCCCCAGATTAAACCTCTCCCTGGCAAAGTTTAGACTGAGAAGAGAAAGCTTCCTGCAGATTGCATGGCCACACACCACCCCACAAACACCCTGCTCTAGCTGTGGTACTGGTCTTTCCCAACTGCTCACACAGCTTCAGTCAGGAGACACAGAGCAGACCAGGCCTCAGTCCTGGCGAAGCAAACTGTAGCTCAGATGTGTGTGACCCAGTTTGCAGAGTTCTGCTTGAAAAGATCTTGAGTGACCATTTCAGTTGCCCTGAAGGGCTCACACAATCATATGACAACCACCTTGTGATTTTCTTTGGAAAGCCCTCAGGATGAAAAGGCAGCAGGAGAGTCAGATCTGTGAGGATGGAAATCATGCTAATTCACATGAGGAAAGGAAACATCAAAGGCAGGAACCTCCACCAGAAAATGTTCTTCCCAGAGGCCAGAAGGGCCACCAGTGGGTGGGCCTCTACAACACCCAAATTTATCAGGGCCTTACCAGACAGCACTGCTCAAACCACACTCCCTTCCTCCCCACCCCACCCCCACCCCCCAGATTTCCAGACTGGAGGACTTGAACAATGACGCATTCCTGGGTCTCAGGATCTCTGGCTTTTCATAACAAATGGTATACTTGACAGGCTGTTTTGCATGTATCATCATTCTCTCTCTCAAATACTCACATATATTTGACTTAAAACTACCCTGTTTTCTGGCAAATAGAGCAACACTGAGACCACCGGGACAGAAATAACCCAAACACTAACTCAGGAAGGAAACCTCAACCCAAGTGTTCTCGGTCTGCTACGGAATCCCCACAAAGGCAATCYCCAGGGACACATCATGCACAGACAGGGTGCTTCAAATCTGACTGGTTTCACCAAGAAAATAGCTGCCTTCTAATCCTTTTGCCTGCTGCTAACACTATCCCCACACATGCATGTCAGCTATTTCTTTAGCAGCACAGTGTCAGAACTAAGATTTATGACTCCCTGGCCTCCTGACAAAAATAACCACAATTTGTCCAGCCCCCTCACATGACACATGTCAATGATCCCGGGCACACAGTCTGGATGCCTCAGACTAAGCCCACAGCCCCAGGCAGCAAAAAGGATATGCATGCACTGAAACAGGACACTCAGGAAGTTGTGGAGGGACACAATAAAGGTGTCAGCCCACTGTCGAGAAAAGTAGGTAGCAAAGGTGGGGTTGGTGTCTGGGGATGGCAGGAAAGGCAGGACAAACCAATCCTTCCACTCAGCCTGGTTCTGAAGCTCTGTGGCCTGCTTTGCAAAGAATTCCTGAGCCTTGTCATTTCTGTTTGTCTGCCAAGACACAAAGGAGGTAGCAAGGAAGGGGAAGAGACACAAGTCCAGAGGTAAGATTCTTCACCACTACACAGCAGACAGCCTTTTGGATATCAACTGCCAAGTGAGTGGCAAGATATTACCTCCACAATATGAACACAATCATCGCCCTTTTCTCAGGAACCTTATTTCAGAGATAGTTTAAACTGAAGTTCTAACGACAAATGCCACCCTGAAAACTAATCCCTTGTTGATGTTCAAATAACCTAAGTGACTTATTCTTTCAAATCAGCTGTAGTCTTTATTACTTAAATTTTATATCTTTAAACCACTACCCAGGATGATGTGCTTAAAACAAGAGGGGAAATAGGAATGGAAACAACAGGTAAGAGGACCTACAGATGATGAGAAGGAAAAAAAGAAGTAGGAAAGCAGTCAAGAATAATATGCACTGTGGCTGTTCCACACTTTCCCATAGTAATGTTCGTGTGTCTCCCTCCAGTTAGAAGAAAATCTATTTCTGGATCAAAGAGCTCTCCCACCTCAGAACCCCTGAATCAACAAACACCTGGATTGTGTAGACAAGATAAAAGCGGAAGAGGCTGGTTTTCAGCTTGTTGATGGTGGGTCTATATATATCCTCCAAGCGGCTGAAGAGCCTCCGTTCTAGGTAGCTCCAGTAATCCCGAAGGGCAGCTAAGTCATACACCTGCATTAACTGCTGTAGCTGGTCCACAATCTTGTCCACCTAGTGAGAAAAAGCAGTGCTGGAGAAGGTGGGGAAGGATAGAAGGGAATTCACCTTGCATTCCACAGAATACAGTTTTTCCTTTCACTGACTTCTGGGTGTACAAATAAATTTAAGTTGGCAATTTATAACAAAACATACTAATGTAGTAGCTTTTAAATTACTTTCTGATGCTAGATATATATGTTGTCTCTCCCGTAAGCATGGAAACTTCAAGTATAAAAAGGCTCTGGCCCAGGAGATGGAGCTATAGCTCAGTGGCCGGGCGCTTGCCTAGCCTGTGTGAGGCACTGGGTTTGATGCCTACCACCGCATAAAAATAAATGATAAAGGCCTACTGCACATCTACAATTACAAAAAAAARGGGGGGGGGCTCTGGCCCTAACTTAGGGAGCGAGAGATCTGGCTCCGGGTTTTGGATCTACTGTACCAACTTAGCAATGTCACTTTAACTGCAGTCTCAGATCCTCATATTTAAAAGGCAAAGAGGTAAGAAAGTATGAGACAATGTCTATGGCCTCCTCCCAGTGCACAATTCCAGGATTCCAAGGATCACCAAGCTGTGCACTGACTTACTCCTGCAAGTCAAAAAACTACCACAACCCTGGTAGCTGCTCAGAGTGTCAGTCAAAGAAAGAATTCAACTCCTTGTGAAGAACAATTACACCAGAATATACAATCTAGAAAAATTTTGTATATCCATATCAAAAATAGATCAGGGCACTGAAATCTGAAGAGGTAAAATTATTTGCTTTTGCCATAAGTAATTAACTTTGGCAAGGCAAAAAACCAAGTATTCTAATTCCCCTCCAATGCTCTCGGTGCCAGCTCACTGTGTCTCTCAATTCATCCGCCAACACCAGAAAAACTGATTCAGCACATACAAATAGCACACAAATTCCAAGAACCTCCCAAGGAAAAATCATATCATAGTAGGAAGTCTTTATATTTTAAAATGTGCCATGAGTTCTCCCTCAACTACTCAAGCAAAATTGCCAATGAGTCCCTGACAAGGCCATTTTAAAAGAACACCTCAGACGCCTGAACCCAGTTGGCGTTTGGGGCTGCAGACGCTTTTGCTCCCACTGCCATCAGAAGCCAAAACCTTATGTCTTTCTCTTGCCARAACTCAACCATCTACCCAGTCCTGGCTCCTAAAACCTCGTCCACCAGCCGGGAGACTGGGATGGAGAACAGAGCCCTGGACCAGGAATCAGGGCACCTGGGCCCCGATGCAGATGCTCCTGACTCACTGAGCAACTTCAGGAAAGTCACGTCCGTCTCAAGGCCTGTTCCTCATATGCCTAGCTAGGGCCAGACGCATAATGTCTACGGTACACCGCCCCCCCCACCCCCCCAGCGCGGTGACAGCGCCGCTACATCCCAGGAGGGCAGTGCTCGGGGAAGGGGCCCGCTCTGGAGATCCCTCGGGCCGCCTCCGCCCGCGCGGCGCTCGCCAGCCCCTCACCCGGAACCCCTTCTCCTTGTCCGCCTTGATCTCGGCGTCCAGCTGCCGTAGTGTGTGCGTGAAGCCTCGAAAGAGCAGGTACTCCCGGACCAGCTCGTCGGTGCGCTCCACCGCCTCCGCCATCGCTGCGCCAGCGGCTTGAGGGTCCGCGGCAGCAGAGACGAAGGGGCGGGGCCTGGGAGGGACGGGGAGGAGCCGGGCGCGGGCGTCTAGTACGTCACGAAGCGGCCGGCCTACCAGCCCGCACGCCCTGCGCGCCAGGCGCCGGGGCCCCGCCCCTCGGCCGTTGCCCCGCCCCTAAGCCTCGCCTCCGGACCCGCCCAGCCGACCTCTTTACGCTCWTACTCACTGAGGGGTGGCTGCTAGAGGCTCTTGTCTTTTGAGTTTTCTGGCAGCGCCAGCGGAGGCTTTGTCATCTGAGTTACTGCAAGTGGCGACTCCCGTCCAAATCAAGTAGGACTGGACCTTGTGAACGTCCCAGATACACGAGGCCGCCAGGGGTTGAGGTGCCCTGCTTATTGGCATTACATCGCTGAATTTTTTGTCCCCTGCCCTCCTTTCACAAATGGGAGAAAGTGGAGTCCTAAGAGGTAAAGTGACCTGTGTGAAATCACACAACTGGATGTGTCATCAGAGAGCTCCAACTGCCCCCCCAAACCCTGCTTTCATTAACTACATGGCAAGATAGACAAGATGCACCGCTACTAGGAAAAAGACAAGTCTCAGAAGAGTATGTATACTATGGTCCCAGTTTAAAAACAAGGGCGAGGGGGTTGTGTGTGCATGTATTTTTTAAATTCAGGATTATACGCCAGCTTCTTACAGTTGCTTGAGAGGTGAGACTATGAGGGACTTTCAGTTTCTTTTTATTTTTTAAAAACATCAATGGACCTTTATTATATTTTATTTGTACATGGTGCTGAGAATCCAACCCAGTGCCTCACACATGCTAGGCAAGCGCTTTACCACTGAGCTACAAGCCCAGCCCCTCAGTTTCTTTTTTTAACATTAAAAATCATTCACAAGGTCTATTTTTATAAGACAGAAAACAGCTATTATCTTAGAAATGAYAATAATTCCTACCTTGAAGAGTCATAGAGAAAAATTGATAACACATCAAAACAGCTTAGTGAATAGCCCATTGGTAAAACAAAATAAATGTTTGTTCCTTTCTCCTTCTCTCTAATAGTATGATATTTTTGTTTATCAACTCTGAATCATTCCTACCACTCTACTTAAACTCTCTGATCCTACTATACAGAAATTCAGATCCAAAGGGGCCCTAATCTAGAAAAACCGGAAAAGATAGCAAAGAGCAAGCCACAGCAAAAGAAGGGAGATGCTTATTCTGCCTTTTTGCCTGGTTTCCCAGTCTACACAGTTTAAGTATCTCCCAGGCAACCAACAGCCAGGAGAATCACCTCTGTGACTACTGGGGGAACCAGACCAAATCCTACTTTGGAATCTGAGATCATCAAAAGTGAACTTAGGAAAATTGAGCAAGTAGCCACCACCAAAACTCTGCCTAGAGGAAAGTCATGAATTTGATTTCCCTAGAGTACCCTAAGTCTGCAGCTACAACTTTCCCTCCCCCACCTCCATCTGCCTGGCACTTCCCAGACCAGAGCCTGTAAAACCAGCCAAGATTAGTTTTCTGATGAAGAAAAGGCAGTTAGTTCCTCAGAGCCCAGCACAAGTTCTTTGCTCTACCTGGAATGTCTTCTCCTACATACCCAAGTGGATAACTGCCTTTTCTCCTTCACATGTTTGCACAACTATCGTGTCGTGTCTTTTGGGGCTGCTATAATAAAATACCATAAATTGGGTGGTTTATAAACAACATGAACTTACTTGTAGTTCTGGAGCCTGGAAAGTCAAAATCAAGGCAATAGCAGAAAAATCAGCACCTGGTCAGGACTTGTTCTCTGGTTCACAGATGGAAACTTCTACTTGTGTTGACACATGGTCCTTGAATGGAAAGGGCCTCTCTGACACCTCTTTTATAAGAATACTAATCCCATTTATTAGGGTTCTGCCTTCATGAGCTAATCATTTCCTAAAGACCCAACCTTCCAACACTATCACATTGGGGATTAAGTTTAAACATGTGAATTTGAGGGGATACAAGCATTTAGACCATAGCAGTATCTTCTCAGAGAATTCCCCTCTGACTGTCCTGTACAAAAACCATCCCTAGTGTTCTTACTTCCCTTGCCTCCTTCTATCTACATACATTTATGACCATCTGACAAAATAAATATTTGTTTATTTAGTATGTGGTCTGCCCACCCCCAGTAAAATATAAACTGCATAAAAGCAGAGTATATTTGTCTGTATGGTTTGCTACTATATCTCCAGAGCACAAAATGGCATTGGCTCATAGTATATGCTCCATAAATACTCATTAAAAGTGAGGATTTCAGTTAGGGACCAGCTACCTCCAAGYAGGATAGCCTTATTGGAAGGCAAATAAACTCTTGGATCACACCTGTTCACAGGTTCTATGGACTTGTGAATGGTCAAAGTGTTTCTCTTCCCCTTCACACCATTTTAATGTTTAAAGATTTCTGAAGACACTTAACTGGGTTATCTTTATGTAACCAGAGAAAGTACTAGATTCTCCAGCTCATTTGTTAGCTCTAATTAGTTGATATTATTAATCCATCACTGGTGGTGCTCTGGTGCCTGTAATGGAGGTAGAAAATGACAATGGAGTTCATTTAGGAAGGAGCTATCAGGGACCAAAGCGGTTCCTTTATACTCAAAGAATTATGCACAACCCACAAGGCAAACTGTGAACCAATTTTCTGATCTAACAATCTCTCCTTGCCTTTGAACTTTAGAACTAGAGAAAAGGAAGAACAGGAACATGAGGACAGAAGAAATAAACCTTTATGAGCACCTACTGTGTGCCAGCTACTGTACTTGGCGTCAGTGACATAATAATCAGCAAGATTGGAGTCCCTTCCCTTGGATGAGCTTAGACTGGTTAAGGAAGCAAAATGCCTGAAACATATACTGAAACTCTGACTGCAGGGCTCAGGCAGGATTGGACCACAGCAGGGCCAGCTCCAGGGCAGAAGCCAGTCCATGCAAGAGACGAGGCTAAACTTGTGGCAGTGGGGATGAAGAACAAGGACTCGAGAAATGTTGAGAAGTGGAATTGATCATATGAGGTGACTGAGCTGATTTGAGTGAGGATCAGAGTAGTCAATGGAGGCAGGTTTCTGGTTGGTCATCTGGCCAGATGGCGATGCCATTCATAGTAGAAAGAACTGAGGAAGCAGAGACTGAGAAACATCCACACCAACTCTTTAAGGTAGAAACTCAGCTAAACAGGGCCAACCAGGCAACACTAGGACCTAGAGTGTGGCTTTCGTTCCTCTGCCCCTCTGGAGGCTTCAGCTATTCCCTATACACTGGTGCCACCCAAATCTGACCTCCAGCCCAGACCTATCTCTGAGTCCTCATCAAATAGCCCAGGGACCTTCCGACTTGGATATCCTACAGGCATCTCACACTAATCTGTACCATTTACTGAGATTATACTCAAATGGTGATTGAGGCTTTATTTCTACTATATTGAACTGTAGAATTCAGCTCCCAATTCTCCAAAGTATGAATTTGTCATTACCTGCATCTAAACTACCTGAGGGACTTGGTTAAATACAAAATTCTGGGACCAACCAAGACCACTTGATCAAATCACCTGGGATGGTGGCTGGGAATTTGCATTTAGAGCAAGCTTCAGGTGATTATGAGGAACACATATTTGATAATCACTTTTTCATTGTAATAGGAGGTAAAAGAGGTTGACAGCTGGTTGACAGCTTTCAAGCATAAGTGATATTTGCAGTTTAATGATAATAACAATTATGTTTTAGTTCCCAAACAGTTTTACCTACTTTATTTCACTTAAGCCAAATGCAGCCCTATAGAGTTGATGTTTTCTAGTTCATCTTTAAGATAGAAAAACTGAGGTTCTGGAAGACTCAAAGATTTACTTACTCAAATTCACATTTCTGGCTCCAAGTCCACCAACAGTCTGCCAAGACCTTCCCAGCAGCAGTATTGAATTCATCAACTTGTGAGACAGGCCACTTAGGTGAATGAGGACAAATTATCCCTCCTGCTGAAGAGCACTAGAGCTCAGACTAGCCAAGCAGGTCTGTAACAGCCAGAGCATTCTGCCTGGAACAGGGATCAAATCAACCCTGGATATCCAAAAGTTTACAAGAAAATCTGGATCCATCCAAGATTCTGGGGTCACCTTCAATTTCTCCTACCAATTTACATTTTAGCTGGACTGTTCTATCTTTAATCTTGATACTCTGATTTTCCCTCTGTATACCTTATATATTTTGACACTTCTTTTCATGAAATCCTTTGCCTGGCTCTGCCCATAGTTGTAACTTGATTTTCCTACCATATTAAATTCAGCCTAATTATTTATGGTCTTTATGCCTCCAGTAATAGTGGGCTCCTCCTTTCTTTTCCTGTAACTTAGCACCCTATAACTGCTTATAACATTTCTTTCCACCCCCATGGAGGAGACTATTTAATGGACTCTAGAGACAGTACAAAAGCTCAGAATTCCATTCTTTGGGAAAATATGAAAAACAGGAAATCAGATGTACAAGGGGGTCAGATTTTCAGTTAGTTGGGGGAGGGGAAGAAATGTTCTGGCCTTAAGAGGGGAGAGGAGTCCTCAGTTTAGGGGGCATACAAGTTGGTGTGTGTATCCCAGGATTTGAGGGATGAACCCCAGGAGGTGAGAGTGAACTCCAGGAGTTGTTGGATGGACCCCAGGAAGATRGGGGTAGACAACTGGTGCCTTCTAACTTATCCCAGGGGCTATGGGTGCACCTCCAAGACTTGGGGGTGAATGCCAGAGTAGGTGAATGTACTACTGGGGCCGGGGAGGTGAACCTCAGCCACTGGGGGACGGTGGACACTTGTGAACCCTAGGGGTTAGAGAGTAAACGTCTGGAGTGGGGGTGTGGACCCCTGGAGCATGGGGTACCCCAGATGTAGGTGGGTGAACCAATGGTGCTGGGAGCAAGGGTGAACCCCAGGAGCTGGAGAGTGAACTTCGGATCTGGGGGTGGACCACTGGTGTTGGGGGAAGAACACCAAGAGCTGATGGGGCAGCTGGGGAGGCCCAGAGGGTCCCTGA